GGAGCCAGGTATTTGAGCGAAAGGAGGGGGAGGTGGTGAGAGGTAAGGAAAAAATCAAAAGAAGTGGAGAAAAGCAACACCAGCAGGGAACAAATGGCACTCAAGAGCCGGCCCGTTCAGGTGTGTGGAATCCAAGCAGCCCGTGATTCCCGGTCAAGAGATTGTGGCTGCGGGAAGCAGAGGAGGCCAAGTCGGGGTGAAGAAGGCTGGGGGGTGGGAAAGCGTATATCGCAAATTACTGGTTGTTTTGTCTCCCGCTGGACGCTCTGTGAGGCTGTTTTCTCGTACCCCCTGTTTGCTGGTCTCCAATAGGAGTCCAAGATGGCGGATCCACACTGCGTTAGCTGGTAGGGGACCTCTGCATGAATCTCTCCTCCCTCTCCGTTCTCTGTCAGTTTTCTCACTCCATTGGGTGCTTGGCTGAGTTCTTTATCTCTTTATTTGATGTTTTAGGGTTTCAGGATTGTTGTGTTCTCTGTCCGGCTTAGTTTTTCAGATCTTTGCTGTGGAGGGACGGCGTGGTGCTTCTGCCTAGAGCACCATTTTGCCGGAACACCAGGGTAAATATTTTTATAATAATTGAGTGGGAAATGCTTGATTAAAGAATCCAGAATCCCTAAGAGAAAATATAGATAAATTTGACCACCTAGAAACTTAAACTGTTATGACAAAAAAATAAACAGAATACAATAAAAATAAAGTCAAAAAATGGAAAAAAAATTACTTGTGATAAATAAAATTTTAGCAACCTTAATATACACAAAAGGAGTCCCTTGGTGGCACAAATGTTTAAACACTGGACTACTAATGGAAAAGTTGGTGGTTCAAACCCACGCAGAGGTGCTTGAGAAGTAAGGTCAGGAGTCAGAATCAATTTGATGGCAATTAACAACAACAATGATATACATAAAAACTTAAAAAAAAAAAAAAGCTTTTCAAAATCAGTAAGAATAAGAAAATAAGTTTAGAACATGAACAGCCACTTCATAAAAGAAGAAATATAAATAGCTACAAACCAACTGACGGATGTTCAACTTCATAGCAACCACAGAATTGCAAAGTAAAAATGAATTATCAGTTTTTCTTTTATCAGGTTGGCAAAAATAAAAACATTTATAACAGAACGTTGGCCAAGGTGTGGGTAATATGACACTTTTCTGATTTATTGGTCAGGATGTAAACTGATAGATTTCTAGACAACAATGGGTTAATAAATATAAAAGTTAAAAGGGAACATATACTTTGAACCCTTCAAGTGCACATGGAGAAGTTTTCTGAGGAGATTATTGCATAACTAAAGATATGTACATAAAAAACTTGATAGTAAGTTGGTACGAAATATTAATACTAATAATAGCTTTCCACGTGTCTAGCATTGTACTATAATAATTCCGTAGTATTTAATTGAATCCTCACAGAACCTTATTTAGTAAATAAATATTTACTATCCTATTTATGTCCCAGATGAGAATACCAAGTTTAGATGGCACAGGTAGCTTTTAAAGAATATCTGGAGCAAATAGTATATGTGGGATTAAAATGCAGATCGTTCTGCTCTGTTCCATTTTTAGGGTAGGAAGGGAAAAACGATGAGGAAAGGGGACTTAAAAGGTTCATGTTGAACAAAATCATGGAAACAAAGTTCTATTAAGCACTTGGCTATGCAATTAATCTAAACAATACAGCTCTTACTCTCTAATACTTTTCTGAAAACGAAAGCATTCTAAAGGTCCTTCCGTTTTCCCTTCCAAATGTAAGTGGTCAAGAAATGGAGTTCTAGAGAATCTTCATTCACACATTAAATGAGAGAGAGGGAGGGAGGGAGAGAGAGAAAAGCAACATTTGTTCTTTGGTTCCCGTGTCTAATTTCTTCCCAAGTAAACACCCACAATGCTAGGCCACTGGAAGAGTTTCCCAAGGGACAGCACTTTTGAGGCATTCCTAAGTGGGAGGCCACCTTGAATTCATGAATTCATCCATTCAGCAAACAGTTATTGAACACCTAATAGCTATCAGGTGCTAGTCTAGGTTCTGGGGATAGAGTGAAAAACAAATGGAAGGTATTTACATGGAGAGGTGAGAGAGTACTCAGTGTGTTTAGTGATAGAATGTCTTTCTCCCTCCTTTGAAAAGCGTGAGTTGTTCAGAAGGCCACAACAGATGCTTAAACTACCCCCACCTCCCCAACACCCCTTTAAATTTACTAGCATCTCCTGGGACATACTTGCTGCATTGGGGGCCAGCCAGTGACAGATGCCATGTGTCTTGCTGGATTAATTGTCTGTCCAATTCAATGGTTCTAACTCAACAAACACTTTAAAGGGATGGGTCTGATCAGCACCAACTGGAGTTACTAGAAATATTCACATAGTTTTCCTTTCCTATAAAATCAACTCAGTGAAACAGGTTGAAAATTAGTTATATCTATGTAACACTATTTGGGTACTTATATGATTACCAAAGGCCTAGTATTACCATCCTTTGTAAGCCATATGTTTATACAGGACTCCACTCAAATCATGACCTGAGAGAGGATGAGCAATATATAGATTTTTTCCTTAGTCCCCATTTCCTTTATTCTCCCCAGTACAAAAAAAAAAAGTCAACATTTGTGAATATATCAGAAATAAACAGAACAATGATATGTTTTACTAAATTTAAAATTATGAATTTGTATTTTTCTCTGCTCTTAATAACACTGCTTTAAAAGAAGAAAAGCGTAAAAATCATTCATCTCTAATTTGGGAGTCTTTCACTGATTAATGCCACAGGTTTATTTAATTCTGTGAAAGAATCTTTTTATTGTCCTTAAGCCACTCCTTATAGACACACCCTCACCCCCATTTTTGTAGTTTCTGTAGAATTCTTAGGTATTTATACTATAATTTGCATTGATTATTTTGCTTGATTTAGTGACTGAGTTAGTGACTTTGAAATATTTGGCTCCTAACTTTACAGTTAGAAAATCTGAGGAGGCAAGTATATTCCAGGAAGCCTTAAAAAAAAAAAAAAAAAAGCTGAACACAATATTGATAGCTAATCTTTATTACCTGTTTCTTCATCTCAGGGCAGGCAGTATGACATTGGGACACCATATAATCTGAGTGAACCGGTGAGTAATTGCTACCATTGTTAAGAAATTTACAGTGTTTGTGTTGATAAAAAAAAGCGACAATGGTCAGGTTTTATTAAAATAAGAATAATTGCTGAGTAAAATCTCATTTATTTATACTTGCCGGAGGAAGGTCAATCTAAAATGGTGAAAACACTGAATTACAGAATGTTTAAAAATAAAGTCAGGGACAATGTGTTGAAGTGGCAAGAGCACAGGACTAGCTCAAGTCCATGATTTTGACTCTATGTAACTATGTCCCTGCGGCTATAGGCAGCAGACTTCCCTAAACTGTCTACCTATCTAGATGTTGACATACCATCTTCTGGTTGAGTATCCAGCTCTGAGTTTTGCTTGTAGTGTGAGGATACCCTACGGGCCAGCAATTTACTTGATGCCATGCTCTCCTGGACTTTACTTGTTTCCAGCTACCCTGTGGACAGGTGCTCCCTGAAAGTTGGGTCTCTCTGGTTTCTAGGTTTGCCACCCCAGGGCTTAACTCCACGCAGCTCTGTCAGTGAAACCAATGAAGCCCTGCTCTGTCTGTAGATATGAAAGCTCTGCTTAGCATCCCAAGGGTCCTGGTACTTTTGATCAGGTTGCTTGGTAGACTTCTATTTCTAAACCACAGGGCTATACTTTTTGTTACCATAATGCATTTCAGGGTCACAAGAAAAAGTCCCATTTCTTCAGTCACCATTGTCTCTTATTGACTCTTACAGTGCATCCAAGGATGTCATTTTTGGAACTCTGCTGATCAGGAAAATTGTGCATTAAAGTGTGTAAGTATTAATTATGCTTCTGTTTTTGATATTGATATTTCCCTCAAGAGAAAAGTTGTCTCAGAGGATTCCCATTTCAATTTCCATTGATCTTCTACTAGTTTGTTTGACTCTAAAAAAAAAAAAAAAAAAAAAAAAAATTTGATAGCCTGAGTAATACATAGTAATAGAAAAGAAATTGAGATTAACATTGTAAATGCCACTGGAGAACAAGGAAGAAGTTAATGCAAACCATGCGATCCCGGGATGCCTAGGGAAGCCTATTGCTCCAAACTATAAAGGCTTTTTAGTAGAAAAAGAGATATAAGTTCTTTGTTAAATTTTCTAGGTCCTTGCTTCTCAAATTTTAATGTGCACACAAATTATCTGGGCGTGTTATGAAAATGTGGATTCTGATTTGGTAGGTCTAGGTGGAGACTGAGATTCTGCACATGTAACAATCTCCCAGGTGATACAATGCTGCTGGTCCTTGGACCACACTGAACAGCCAGGCTCTCGGTCATTTTCAGAGTTTCTCTGTAGGGAACATGGTAGCAATCTGATCCATAAGTCTCAAACACCCAGATTTACTCCACTTTAGGTAGCAAATAACATCCACAAGCACTTATTTTTCATTTATTCTGGCTTTGCTACTTACCGTGTAACTTAAAGCACTTAACCACTTGGTAGTTGAGCTTCTTCATCAGTAAATTGGGTAATAACAGAATTTCCCTCCTAAAGATGGAAACCCTGGTGGTGTAGTGTTTAAGAATTCAACTGCTAAACAAAGGTTGGCAGTTCAAATCCACCAGGTGCTCCTTGGAAACTTTGTAGGGCAGTTCTACTCTGTCCTATAGGATCACTATGAGTCGGAATCGACTCAATGGCAATAGGTTTGGGTTTTTTTTGTCTCCTAAGGATAGTGCTTGACACATTGTAAGTACTCTTATCTCATGGATATAACTTGAAAATATTATGCTAAGTGAAATAAGTCAGGCACGAAAGGACAAATATTGTATAATATCACTTATACAGAATATCTAGAATAGGCACATGCATAGAGACAAAAGTTTATTAGTGGTTACCAGGGGCTGGAGGGATGGGAGAATGGGGAGCTATTGCTTAAGGGGTACTGAGTTTCTGTTTGGGGTGATGAAAAACTTTTGGAAATAGAAAGTAGCAATGCTTGTACAACATGGTGAATATAATTAATGTCACTGAGTGGTATACTTAAGGATGGTTAAAATGGCAATTTTTTTGTTATATATATTTGCCACAATAAAATTTTAAAAAAAGTAGATAACTTTGTTAAAGTTGTTCAGGTCAGAGGTTAAATCAGTAAGAATCATGGTAACATTAGGTAATCCTAATATCATTTTCTATTAGTGAGTTAAATGATAGCTTTGAGATTTAAATTAGGCATCAATCTCTCCTTATACATAGTCCTTATAGTTTTTCTTATATAGTGTGTGTTCACAGATCTCTACTATGGGAGGTAATTGTGCCCACTCTCATGTTTGTGGCTGTGTGTGCCTCATAGAATGGAAGTTACGAAAAGGTGGGAGAGGGATGTGCTATGTGGACTTAGTATTTGTTATACACGCTAAAAGCACTTTTACCTCTCCTTGGTAGCACTTTCCACACATTGCAATTTAAATAACTATCTGTTTAGTTACGTATTTATTATCTTTTACCCCTAACATGTGGACTGCTTATCCTACCCTCTGTCTTGTTCACACTGTATGTCCTGCACCTAACGCTGTGCGAGCACATAGCAGATACTCAGTCAACACGTGGGAGGCACCATTTGTTGTCTGGCAACAGCCCAGGAAGCAGTGTGAACGCTGTAGTGGCCATTCCGAGGCAGGGGAACTTGCTGACCTTTGCTATCTGGCGTTCTTGGTGATTTTCATTTCAGATCTGTCTCCCTCAGGCTTCTGAAAACACCCTTCCATTCCATCACAAATCACCTCTAAGTTGACTTGGGTTTTCTGGTAGCCACTGTGCTCCTCCATTTTCCAGTGATCATTGTCACAGTGGTCCCCTGCACATAATAAGGCCTCAGCTCTGGGCTCCTTTGCTTTTTGATCGCGTTTTTCGTTGGTTGTTTGCCAATGGTGGGGCAAGAAATTAATTTGGAAGAAATGTGTAGCTAAGTGTCATTAACATTATTTACAGCTTAAAGAGTGTAAGTTTTACTTTCCTTTTTTCTTTTTTCTATGCAGAATGATACCTATGCCACCATTTGTGAGGTGAGTTGGCAATTCTTTACTAAAAGAGGTCATCAAACTCCATGTCTTTATCTGTTGTCTTTAAAAAACTGTTAGAATCAAACATAAACTATTCTAATGAAGAAACCTGAGTCATTTTTCAAAATACATAAGCACTCTTCCTGAGAGTGCTATTCCTCTGGGTATAAAACTGACTGTGTAATTCCATTTTTGGCATATGTATTTGCTGTATTTTTAATGTATACATATGATGCATATATGTGTGTGTATATATACATTTGTGTGTATGTATATATATACATATATGCACACACATACATATGTACATATATATTACTTCAGTTTGATTTAAAAGGTTATAATTCCTGGAGACTGGGAGGGGTGAAGAAAGAAAGGGACACATCTAGGAATAACCTTATCTCTGCTGATTTCATTTTCTTCCCCACAAAGTAGACTGTTCTGTCATTAAATACAGTCCATTAAAAAAGAAGTCTTTAATTGCAATTTTCTTCCTTATTCAACAAAATCCCTTGGCAATATTTTGAAACACAGCTATTTTCTTCCTTGCTATGATAATGAGGCAACAGGAACATATCGTTAGAACCAACCAGACACAAAATAGTGAGAAAAAGCGTTTGCCCTGAGGGATGTCCCATTGTATTGGTGACCTCCTCGGACTCTGGCTGCCAGGTGATTCCACTGATCTCCCCCTGCCCAGTCCCATACTTGATTTTGTCCTCATCAGAAACATCTTAGAATTTGATCTTTTCCTACTTAATTTCCTTAAACTAAATTTTCCTACTAATTTCCTTAAACTAAATTTACCTGTCCTGGATTCCATCCCTTCGTAATACATTTTAAGTTACTTCACAATAGGTGTTTTTGAAGAAACTGTCTTATTTCTTAGTTTAAAAACTACACTGTGTTCTATTCAAATGTCCTTGAAATCAGAGAACAGAACTGTGCTGGATGAGAAAATGGGGGAAGGAATAGAAATTTATCATCCATTAGTAAAGTAGAAAAATCTGCTTTTAATGGAGAACAAAAGTAAAAACCATACTGAATGGGAATATTCTCTCAATAATCTGTGGCTACTCTGCTCCTGAGTGATTTCCCCTTGGGGGAGGATAGAACTGAGGGTTGGCTAAGAAGAGATGAAACCGGGAGAAAAGTTGCCCCATATGTAAATACACAATTAAAGGTCTCCCCTGATTGAGATAGAAATAAATAAAAATAAAAGCTACCTGGGAAACTTTTTAAGCGATTAAAGCAAAATTACCCTAGGAGATTAGGGTTAGCCCCAAGGAGATTTTGTCAGCGCCGGGAAAGCCAGGGAAAGTCAAAGTCTCTCAAGCGCTGAAGCAGCCCAGGATTGGATTTGTAATGAAAGCTACTGGTTCTCCATTAATCATTATGGTGCCCAGTTGTCTGTGCTTATATAACAGAAATCTTTTCTCTCAGTCTTATATAATTATTGTAGTCTTCTCCATTTATAGTTTGTTATTTTAATAAAATGTCACATTTTAAGTAAAGTAGAACTGAACAATAACACATGCAATATCATACACACACATTAATACGTACATATATGTATATGTATGTGTGTGTGTGTGTATAACAAATATCTAATTTTTTAAAAACTCAGCTGCCCACACTTTTAGGAAATGAAACTCTTCAACCATTAATACTTCAAGGTAGGAAGCTTGGAATGTTTGCAATTCATATTCCTTGGAGGAAATAGCCTTGGAAGTCATAGTTTAGCAAAATAAAACTTGGAAAGTGATGATAGCAAGTGAGATGTCTATCCCTGATAATTTAAAACACAAATTAGACCATATCATTGCTGAAAACCCTTTTATGGAGTCTCACTGCAGTTTTAGAAAAATACAAACTCCCATCTCATCTGGCACCACTCTCCCCATTCTCTCTGTGATGGCCACACTGGCCTTCTCCTTCCTTGAGTATGCCTGCCAGGCACATTCCTGCCGCAAGACTTTTGTACCTGCCATTCCTTCTGCTCTCCCCTAGATCTTTGCAAGCCCAGCTCCTTCTGGTCTTAGCTTGAGTGTCATTTCCACGGAAAGTTCCGATCACCCTGAATAAATTAAGTCTCCTCTGGGCCTAGACATGCCCTATGTCTTTGACCTGTTTCATTTTTTTTATACATAGCACTTATCATTATCTGAACATACCTTTTTTTTTTTTTTGCTACTTGGTTATGTCTATCTCCGTTTAAGTGAACATCAGTCCCATGAAGGGAGAGAATTTATGTCTTTCTCACTGTCATACCCTTAAAGCTGCGGTGCTTGGCACATAAAAAGCACTCAATAAATATTCTTTGAATGAATTACAATGATATTTTAGGAAACACTGCCGTAGTTCTTATGGAAAGCTGCACTAGGGTCATTGCAGGAGTGTGGTAAGGTTTGTCCTGTGTTACAGAAGTAAGAAAAGGCATGAGCCACACATGTGCTAGCTGGGAAACACAAGGGTAGAGCCAGAGGGACAATTACAAAGATGGTCTTACTATTATGGGGAAAAATGATAGGAACAGAGACAGAGAAGAGTGAACTCGGTTTCCAGAGTGGGAGTGGCAGCTCAGTAGCATGGAATATGCTGCGGAAGTGTCCCATTCAGGGGCTCTGTGCTTAGGTTCCATGAATTTCTTAAATTCAACCACCTCTAGTTTCTCTCTAGTCATCTCCCAGTTTGAGAAACGCTGGATAATCTCATCTGAAGTCCAATGTTAGATTGCCTCCAAGAAGATTTCAGGATTAGATTTAAAATTAGAGAGAGAGAGAGAGAGAGAGAGAGAGAAGGAAAAGCTAGTCTGTACCTTTATCTCTGCTTGAGATGACAGACTCTCAGATAGGTGGGGATTTTAGTATATATCTTCCCTTGGAAAACTCAAGTCAAAATAAGCTCACAATTTCCCCCTGAACATCAAGACTAGCTAGATTTTCAAATAAACATTATTCCATCTCCTTTTCTCTTTCTCAGTGTTCTTTCTTAAAAAATACTTCATGTTATGTAATAATTTTTGTGCCACTTGTTCTGTTTATTCTCTGTGGTTAATGAATGTGTTGGATTTGTCTTACTGAAACCTGAAAAGAGGACATGAAAAGTATCCGAAACTCTCAAGTTAAATAATCCTGAGCCCAAACTGAGGTATTTAAATTAATCCTTAACTAAGTAAACAGGGGCTTATCAGGCTCCACTTCCTTTTGGTGGGCAGATCAAACATTGGACAGTTAGTATTTGTAGGTTACAGCCTTTTATACCTGGGATATTTGGGGCAAATGCATTGTTATGGTTTCCACTATCATCATGAGAAACAATAGTATGTTTTCCTAGGTATTATAATTATAAATTGAATGTAAGCAGGAAGATTGATCACAACTGTGCTTAGTTTTACAATGTATGCCTTTTCTCCGAGTGTTTTTTTTTTTTGGCACGTGCTTGTGCTCGTGCACACGCACGTGTGTGTGTGTGTGTGTGTGTGTGTGTGTGTAAAACTAATGCTAATACATCCGTTAAGAGTTGCAGAAAATTTCTGTTTCGGTCATCAAAATGTTCACTCTCTTTTTGGGTAATGAGATAGATAAAATGTTAATCATCATTAAGTTTTTGTAGACTTTAAAATTTGACATTGGTATTAAAACATCTATTTAAAAGTTCAGCTACTATAAATTTATTGTTGTTTTTTTGTTGTTAGGTGCCTTTGAGTCAGTTCTGACTCATAGTGACCCTATAGGGCAGAGAAGAACTGCCCCATAGCGTTTCCAAGGAGTGGCTCGTGGCCTCGAACTGCCGCCCTTTTGGTTAGCAGCCATAGCTCTTCACCCCTGTGCCACCAGGCCTCCATAAAATGTACACTCAACTTTTAATTTTCCAAGGAAGTCATGGATATATGAAATAAACAGGGAATTCTTAAGCATCACGTAGGGTGCTTTAGGTTTTTGGCTCACCAAACCTTTGACCAACATGGCAAACACATAATTACATTGCTGAGCTCAGTGTGTTTTCAAACTATAGAGTGTGGCCCATTAGAGGTTTATGAAATCAGTTTAGTGAATCAAGAATCACATTAAACAAAATAAAACAGAGTAGAATGGAATAGAATCAGACATATCGGAAGGCATCACAATTACAGGGTTCTTTTTGGGATGTTGCAAAATTAGATTGTGGTGATAGTTGCCCAGCTCTGTGACTATACTAAAACACCACTGAGCTGCATGATTTAAATGGGTGGACTTTACAGTATGTGAAATGTATCTTAACAAAGCTGTTAAAAAACGGGGAAAAAAATAAGTACTGTTTCAAGAATCTTTGTTTTTCAACATGTATTGTGTACTATGTTTTTTATTAGATGTATTTCTCACTATGGGACACAGTCAAAAAAGTTTGAAAAGCACTGGTCTAATCTCGCTAGCAAGTATTACAGTTGAAATAGTTGATATACAGGTATACTTGTATGTCAGGCGTTCAGATTTCAAAATTTAATTGAAGTTCATTAGTAAAACCAGTGCCGAGGCTGTGCTAACTGTCGTACTCCCGGTCTTCGTAGCGAGAATCCTGTGAGGTCGGCTGCAGCAGTGCAGAAGGCGCATACGAAGAGGAAGTACTAGGTGAGAAAACACACACGCCTGTCATTAAATAAATGACACCACTATAGGGACTTGGGCTTATTTAAGAATAAAAAAAACAGTTGCCATTGAGTCGACTCCTATTCATGATGCACTCACCTGTGTCGGAGAAGAACTGTGTTCCACAGGGTTTTCACTGGCTGATTTTTCGGAAGCAGATCATCAGGCCTTTCTTCTGAGGTGCCTCTGGGTGGACTCAAACCTCCAATCTTTTGGTTAGCAGCTGAGTAAGTTAACCATTTGTACCACCCAGGGACTTCATTTAGTAAAATATCTAGACTTCTATATCTCGGCATGATCAAAAAATATATATGGAGAGAAAATTCAATAATTTCAAACATCGAGGCTGTTCTGATAGTTACTCTCTAGTCAGCAAGGCTCTTTTAGAGCAAAATGAGAAATGTGTCACATGACTGAGGTTTAGGGCCAGATTTTCCTCTCAAGTTTTGTAGGTACAATCACTTCTATCTTCACGAGAGAGAAAAACATAAATCTTAAGCAGACTTGATGTCAGGGAATGCCACTTTTTTAAATGAATCGAAAGAATAGAAATATTTAATGTGGCTTTTATCATTCAGCTAATAGTTATTCAACAGAGCACCTGCTATGTCATTATAAGGCCCTGGGAAACTTGTAAAATGTATAGCAGCTAAGTTTTGAGTAAGTAGGGGGCTTGAGTGTATGTCTCCAGCTCCCGCTGCCTGATTTCAGAGCTGGTTGGGCGTTAATTCTCCAGTGGTTTCTAAAAGGCCAACACTTTGATTAAGTCATAGCCTGGATGTCAGCAGCTATCTTTTCCAAAATTCACCAAGGTCCCCTCCCACTGAGAGTTAGACAGTTCTCTCCAGACTGGGAGACCCTGGCCTCTTCCATATATTATAGTCCTTGTTTCAATGGCTTTCTCCTTGCTCTGAATGGCTGATGGAAATTGGAAGGAGAATCTTCCCTTGCTGTCCTGATTTGCTTCTGCCTTTCAATGTTGCACAAAGGATCTGCTGTGACATTTTTGTGGAATAGTAGTCATATTTCACTTTGTTTCTTTTGTGTAGTGGGAGTTAGCTGTGGATAAAACCTACATTCTGTGGTTTCCAAACTGTGCACTGAGGTGTCCCAGGGCATCTCACCAACTTCTCAGGGAGCCATGGGGTTTCTATATTTTTCGAGGGAGACCCATCTATTGGGCATTGCTGGAACTGTTAGCTGGAAGTAGTTTACAGTGTGAATACTTTGTGCTACCTTCCTGGGTTTTTGGTGATTGTTGTGATAAAAAGTAAGTACCACGTGAAAATCACTGTGGAACAGGAAATCAGGATGGTGGTGTCCAATCTGATTCCAAGATTGGAGAAATTGTGCATTGCCCAGCAGGCACACGGATCCCATTAGTATGTAATTATTGTTATTTAAGAATGAATAAATATATGTTATTTTCCCCAATTTATGTGTTTTTTAAACATCTATTAAGTTAAAACAGACATACCTATTGAGTTATAATATTTAATTAAAAAAACTATTAGGTATTTCATTTGATCCAGGGAGACATAAAAAAAATTGCTGAGAAACTAATGATGCCAGAACCAAGAAAGTTTAGGAACTTACATCCTAAACCAAAAAAGTTTAGGAACAAGAAAGTTTAGGAATTTACATTGTTTTCTTGTATTCTAAAATTATACTACCAACCTAATTACACACTTCTGTTAGAATACAAGTGTAATCAGTGCTTAATTTTTAATTTCTCATTTCTTATGGATCAATGTCCATGTACCACTGACAAATGTGATGTTTCAAGTCTAAATAAAGGCATTCATGGTTACAGAACCATAGCTTAATTTGTTATCATGAAGCTTTTCGCCCCTGCATCTAAGACTGTTTTTCTCTAACATACCCGGTACCTAGTCCATTTATCTGTGGGTGTGCTATATTAATCAATTTTAGATGCCCTCCATGCCCCTTTTCACAAAGTGGAGAATGATGATAGCTAATAATATATTGAAATAAAATTAGCTAATATTTATTAGGCATTTATGAGTCAGGCACTGTTCTAAGTAATTTATAGGTATCTGCTGTTTTTGTCCTCAAAGGTATAAGTACTATTATTAACTTCATTTTACAGATGGGAAAACTCAGGCACCGAGGTTTTAAATACTTGGTTGGGGTCACATACCTAGTAAGGTATGTAAGTGTAATTATAACCCAGCTATCTGATTCCAGAGCCTTCTCTTATCCACTCTCTATATACTCAAAGTAGTTCATAGCGTAGTCCAGCTTCTCTGTCTCATTTGCTTTTCTCTTGTCTTGATATTTTAGAATAAACCTACTTTGCCTCTGTTTTTTACCTATGCATCACCATGGCTTTAAAATATACAAAGATATTTAATTATGAAACTTACATTTAATTGTGCTTATACAACTCTGGACCCTTCTACCCAGTTCTCAGCTTTCATCTTTTCTGATGTCTCCTGGATCTTTTTCTTCACTCTGCTGACAACTCCGTTATTGGATTCCTCTTCAAGATGTCCCACAGCATATTCTAATCCCTACTATTCAGGATCTGATACCATAAAAGGGGGGAAAAGTGGAACTGTGCTTTGCTTGTATAGTATAATAGCCAAAAAATGAACCATAAATAGAAAAATCAGTAGAGAAGGGCTGTGCTAGGCCTCTGCAGACACTGAACCCTCACATGACAGTGGCTTTCATTTTTCTGGGTCATGGAATAGTTTAGTAGTATGGACTTTAATTAGTTCAGATCTGACATCTGTAGTGATCAGAATTGGGTCAACTTTTCTTTTAACCAGAAAGAGTGAAGTCATGAAAGTTTGTATTTAACCATTTCAAGCTTCCTACCAAAATTTACCACACTTTCTCAACTAGAGATTTTTTTTCTATGAAAAGAGAGTTGAAGCATTAAATCAGTCACAATATGGGGAAAATACACAAAGTAAAGTGAAATTATTTTAACCCAGTGGTACATACCGTCAGAAATCTAGTACAGTGCCTGGCAAGGAGCACCCGATAAACATTCACTGTCAATTGTAATGTCGATAATGTTTAGAAGTCATGAAATATCTTTACAATAGAGACTAGCTGAATGCAGAGTTCTTTAGAGTTAAGGCACTTATTCTGTGTACATAAAAATAATTTGTCGACAAGCTGGGCAGTAACAGCAGAATTATAGCATAAACTTTCAAAAACTATCTGGGGACACATGTCCTGAGGCAATGGATGGTTTCTGCTGTGCCATAGACGTGTTCTCTGCACACCCCCCCATCACTTGGAAGGAAGCGGTATTGCGAGAGGAGTCCCTGGATGGTGAAAGTGGTTGACGCACTCAGTTGCTAACAGAAAGGTTGGAGGTTCTAGTCCACCCCAAGTCACCTCAGAAGAAAGCCTGGCGATCTACTTCTGAAAAATCAGCTATTGAAAGCCCTAAGGAGCACATTGCTACTTTGACACACATGGGATTGCCATGAGTTGGAATTGACTTGATGGCAACTGGTTATCATAAAAGAAAACTGGGTAGTCTCAGAACACTCTGTGTCAACTTCCTGTAATAAAAGACGACCATCAAACCTAACCGTGAATTCTATGGGGAAAAAGGCGGTGAGACTAACTAGTTCATTTTTTAAAATACACCATTGAATATGTGCATCACTTATTGTCAAAAGCGGTTACTGTGGCAGTAAGTAGCTGCAGCAAGCAAATGCTGAGAGCACTAGATGAAATAAATGTGCCCTCTCCTGCTTTGGGGGACAGGGTGCATGGTGTGTGAAATCTTATTTTCTCCCCAGAAAATGCAGACCTTCCCACTCCACCCTTTGCTTCTTCCATTGGAAACCACAGTGTGACATTAGGATGGAAATCTGCCAATATTTCAGGAGTAAAATACATCATTCAGTGGAAATACACGCAACTTCCAGGAAGCTGGACTTATACTGAGGTATGAAATGCTGTCTATGTACATCAACACAGTTTATCCCCCCTCAGATTATTAAAACTACCAAATTATTACATATAATTACAGGTATAAAGATATTCTAGAGAATATCAAGCACGAGATAAGTGGTTGGATTAGATGAACTTTAATCTCTGCTACTCTACAAAATGTTAATGCTAAAGCCTTTATTTTATGAGGAAAATATATTATTGGACATAAATATTTCTTCAGCACAGCATCATATGACTGCTCATTCCATTGGTCATCATCTGCCTATCCCACCGAAAATGATTTCAACTAGGATGGAAGGCAGGGAGAAGATTCTCACAGGTGGTTGTTCCAATATAGAAATGCTGTCTAGGGTGATCATCCATGTTATGGATTGAATTGTGTCCCCCCAAAATATTTTGGAATCCTAACCTTTCTACCTGTGGATGTAATCCCATTTAGGAATAGGGATTTCTTTGTTATGTTAATGAGTCCATATCAGTGTAGGGTGTGTCTTTTGAGATATAAAAAGAGCAGTTAGGCATAGAGACAAGTAAGCACAAATGGGACAAAGACAAATGCCATGTGAAGATCACCAAGGAACTGAGGAATGCTGGGGCTAGAGAAGTCGAGACAAAGATTTCTCCCCAGAACAGACAGAAAAAGTCTTCCCCTAGAGCCAGTGCCCTGAATTCAGACTTCTAGGCCCCTTACGTGTGAGAAAATAAATTTCTGTTGGTTAAAGCCACCTACTTGTGGCTCTTATGTTACAGCAGCACTAAGAAACTAAGACAATCCAGGACTTTCCCCATTTTAGGGGATATGAGCAAGTTCAGAGAAAAATATTCCCAAGACATCAAGCATATTATTATAGAAGAAGTAAAGGGAAGCCTTGAGGTATTTGCCAAATATAAAATCCACAAATTCTGTTATTTTGAAGGAGGAGAGAATTTCTGTGTGAATTATGCAGACTGATATCTCAATGGCTCAGCTATAAGCTCCAGGCATCCATTTCATTTGGTCTGGTAGGGTTGGGTGGCCTAGTATCCGAAAGGCCATCTGCCTTCTACAAATTAATCTGTACTCTGGACTCACAGTGGACAGTGGTGATCCAATAAGTACTAATTATTTATCCCTTCATTTATCTAGGCAGTGTCCAAGCTCACATATGTGGTACAGCCCCTCCATCCCTTTACTGAATATGTTTTCCGAGTGGTTTGGATCTTCACGGCCCAGCTGCAGTTGTATTCTCCTGCAAGTCCTAGTTACAGAACTCATCCTTATGGAGGTATGCCATGCACATGTAACTTGTGAAATAACGAGATTATTCCCAAGTTTTGTTTTAGTTCATTTCTAAGTTAAACAATGAAATAAATTTATTCCTTCATTGATTGATCCATTTAACAATTGCTTACCAACAATGTGCAAAGTAGTATTCTAAGTGCTCAGGATGCTTCCCTGATCAAAACAGACCAAGACCCCTGCTTTTGTGGAGCTCACATTTTGGTGGAGGAGACAGACTCCAAGCAGTAAACATAGCAGATAAGGAAAGCATATTGTAAGTGAGAAGGTGCTGTGTACTATTGTAAGAGGAACATTTTGAGCAGGCCTGTCTTTTAGGGGATTGGAAATGAGGTGAGGGAGGGAAGGAGAAGCAGATTTCAGTACTCAACAAACAAATAAAACCATTGCCGTTGAGTTCATTCTGACTCATGATAACCCCATGTGTGTCAGAGTAGAACTTTGCTCCATAGGGTTTTCAATGGCTGATTTTTGGGAAGTAGATCACCAGGCCGTTTTTCCAAGGCACCTCTGGGAGGACTTAAACCTCTAACCTTTTGGTTAGCAGCTGAGCATGTTAACTGTTTACTCCACCCAGGAACTCATAGGATTAAACAAAGATGATCAGAATAAGTCTAATTGAGATGAAGCAAACACTTGAAGGAGGTGAGGGAGTTAGTCTACCAGATACCTGAGAAAAGGCATTCTGGGCAGAGGGACAGTACATGTGGAGACCTTAAGGCAAGAGCATTCCTGGCCTGCTCAAGGAACAGTGTGCTGGAGTGGAATGAGGGAGGGGAAAGTGGGAGGGGATGAAGTCAGGAGGTGATGAGGCCAAATCATAGTGTGAGCTGGCCTTTGGAAAGACTGTGGCTTTTCCTCTGAGTGGAATAGGGAGTCACTGCAGAGATTTGAGCAGTGGAGGGCACGACCTGAGTTATATGCTGAAAGGATCGCTCTGGCTTTGTTGAGGATAAACTGTAGTGGGTGTGGAAAGAAGCAGGGGACCTGTTAGAAGGCCATTTCAGGGATCCAGGTAACAGATGCCAAGGGGTGGTAGAGGTATGATAAGTGGTTACATTCTATATTGATTTCTTGATAGACTTTTTAGTATTGTTGTTGCTTATGTCATAAACTTCTATGGTTGTGTAACAATGAAATCTCTAAAAACCTTTTTTTGCTTTCCTTTTTTTTCCTCAAAAGTTGGTTATTTTCATGTTATACTTTTAATGCCATTGAAGAGAAGGTTAGAAACATTTTCATTCATTCAACAAGTATTTTTACAGTACCTATTATATACCAGGCATTGTTTTAGGAGCCAAGGATGGTAAAGTCCCAATGCTCATGGGGTTTATATTCCAGTTGGGGAGGACGGTCAAAAGTAACAAAGTAAAACTATTTCCTGGGGTTGTGAGGGGACTCAATAAAAGCATCTCTTTTCCTAACTTGCTTTCTGAACTAATTAGAAATAAAGGGGTCAGCAGATGGGAGACAGGACTATCTCCATTATTTCTGATAAAGACTGAGTTGGATGATGTAGTTCAGTGCATGAAACTGCTAACTCTCTACTCCTTAGCTTAGACCTTCCAGTGACTCACTTCAAGAAAAGCCCTATCGATCAGTTCTGCTCTGCACACAATGGGTCACTATGAGTCAGAACTCACTCAATGACAACGAACAGCAACAAAAACTTGAGGGAAAGTTCAAGTCTACAGAGAAGATGTTGCTGCCTCTTAGTGATTTAAATACAGAGGGAAGGATAGAGACCAAATTTCCTCGTTCAAGACCTCTAAATTATTACCTCCACCAACTAGGATGGCTCAGTGGCTGCTGCCACCAAACATGCACTTACCCTCTTCCACGAGGAGAAATAGAGATAGGGCAAGAGATTGGAGTGTTTACAGAAAATTCATGATGAATGAAGAGGCATTTTTCTAAACAATACAGTGTAATTTCAGATAGTAGTAAGTACTAAGAGGAGAAATAAAGCAATAGAGAGTGACTGAGTGGGGCAGATATTTTAGACGGGTGCCAGTCAGGGAAAGCTTCTCTGAGAATGGCACCTGTGCGAAGCCTCGAATGGCACAAGGCAAGAAGCCATTCAAAGATTTGGAGATGAATTCTCTAGGAAGAGCGAACAGCAAAAGCAAAGGGCAAGGTGTATTCAGTGGGAATGAGCTGGGTATATTCAAGGAATGGCCAGTGTGCCTGGAGCTTAGTGAGTTTGGTGGAGACTAGAAGGAGATGAGATATTATAGGTAGCCAGAGGCCCAGTCATAAAGAGCCCTATAGGACATAGTAAGGAGAATAGATTTTATTTTAAGTCTGATAGTGAATATTTGGGAGTGTCTGGTTCCAGTTTTTAAAAGCTCACTTGGCAATTGCATGGAGAATAGACTAGGGGTGGAGAGTGGACAAGGGTGGAAGCAGGGACACCAGAGAAGAGTCCAAGCAAATGATGATAGTGGCTTTGACTAAAATGGTCCTGTTGGAGAAGGTGGAAAGATTTGTGATATGTTTTGAAGACAAAGTCAATGGAGCTGCCTAATGGATTTGATGTGGAATGATAGAGGATCAAGTATGGTAGCCCAGATTTTCAGTCTAAATTCCTAGATGGTGCCATTTACTAAGATGGGGAAAGGTGGAGGGAGGGGAGAATTAGCTTTCCTAGGGAAAACCAAAAGTTCTGTTTTGGCTAAGTACAATTTGAGATGCCTATTATAAGTCTAATAAGGAGCCCTGTGGTGCAGCGATTAAGCTTTTGGCTGCTAACTGAAAAACTGATGATTCGAAACCACCTAGCAGCTCCTTGGGAGAAAGACCTGGTGATTTGCTCACATAAAGATTACAGCCTAGGAAACACTATGGGGCAGTTCTACTCTGTCACATGGGGTTGCTATGACTCAATAATTGATTTTATGTCACTTAACAGCAACAACAACAATTACATATCCCAGTGGAGTTGTCAAGGAGGCAATTAACTATATGAATTTAGAACTCAGAATGTAGGTTGGAGATATCCAAAATATCAATTTAGGAGTCGTCAGCATATGGATGTGATTTCAGGCCATGGGACTAGAGGGGACAAGCTCTTAAATGAGTGTGGGTCAAAAAGAAGAGAGGGTCAAGGTGTCAGCTCTGGGGCACCCCAACATTTGCTGGTCAGGAAGAGGAGGAGGAGCCTGCAAAGGGAATTGTGAAGGAACAAAACCAGGAGCCAAAGTCTCATAGCCAAGTAATGAAAGTGTTTGAAGAATGAGTGTGACTGCATATGGAACGGTAGCATTATCTCCGGAAAACAACAGAAAGCTTCTTTTCTGCTAGACCCCATGCTTCACCACTTTCCCAACCTTTATTCAGAATGTTGCCCCATTGGAATATAGCTTTAACTGTGAGTCTGGGGTTCTCTTCTGACAACTAGTATATTCTCAGTCAGGGCAGTACTAGTTCTAAATAAATGATATTGGTCTTTTGTTCAAAATATATTCAGGTGGTATCTACTAGGTGCACAGATCATGCTTTTAAGAAGCTTAAATCTCTTGTAGAGGAGACAAATAAGGCACATATTTAAATAACCCTGTAACAAGGTAACACTTGATTAAAAGCATAGGAGAGGTGCTGAAAATGACTATGGAAGTTTAGAGGAGGGAGATATTATCTCTGGAATGAAAGAACAGAGAAAAGCCTCTGGAGGAAATTTCATTTTGACTGGGTCATAATGGACATGATGTGAGGAGAGGAAAGAGCAGGTTCAAGTGACAACATGAGTAGAGGCAAGACAATTAGAGTCCTGGGTAGGTAGGGGAAAAAGTGAATATTCCATTTGCTAGAAGCATAAGATATATGAAGAGAAATAGAATAACTTTGGAAAGACAAATTGGGACCAGATTACGAAGAGCCTTGACTTCCAGGCTAAAAAGTTTGGACTTTATTTAGAAAGCAGTTAGGAACTTTGGAAGGTTTTAAAAAAATAGGAGTAACTGCATCAGATACTACTCTAAAAAAATAATTTTGGCAGCTACACGCAGAATTGATTAACGGCATGAGAGATATTGGAAAGTATAAAGGTAGAGAGACCAGCTGGGAAGCTATGCTAATGTTTCAACAGTTTATCAGAGATGATTTAAACATATATATACATATATATATATAGATATATATATAGATACAGATAGGAGCATTTTCTGGTTTCTTCTTGTAAAGAGGTGGCTTTCACATCAGGAAAAGGATTCAAGACTAGAAGCCTTGAAGGGAGGCTAATGCTCAGGGTTGACACTCGTGGAGAGTTGTCTGGTGACCTGGGAGTATGTGCTCCAGGCTGTTAGATGCCTCTCCACCTCAATTTTGGAGATATGGCTATGTGCAGACAGCCTCAGATCGAACTGGGTCTTTAATGAAGCAGATTTGGGTAGCTGATGAAGTTGTTTACAGCCTTTCTCCCCTTGCCTGATCAAAACCCCCTCCCTGCTTATCAGATCTCAGGGTATGTGTGGCCACCTCCACCAGTTATGTCCTGGTTGTCCTTGCTTAGAACCTCAGATCAGACACCAGCCTAGGGCCATGTTTGGAATGTTTTAGGTCAAAGTAGAATACATGGATCTTTCCTTGTTAAAGCAATGCATGTACTCTAATAGTGCGGGAACATTTTCCAGTGCTAGAGAGATACCATGGTTCAGGAGCCATGGCTGGTCAAAGCAAAATAATAAAGGAGGCAAATTTTGCTTTCTATTCCTGGGCCTCTCTGCTGAATGTGCAAGCCCACGTACACCCTCCAGGCCTTCCAGGTCCTCCTCTGGGTGCCCTTTCCATGGATATCATCTCATGATTCAGATTCTCTTTCCCTTTTCTAGTCCGCATAAAGACTTATAAACCTACCTGTCTTGTGTTCCATTGTTTTGTGATCTTATCCTTTTTTAACTATGAGAAATGTATGATTTCGGATGCTGTTACTGCTTTTTCACTGGGATCTGTCTGAAGGATAATTTCTTAACCAAATGGAGTGGTTGTTAGGCTGGGAACACCAGCCTTTCAGGGAAGATTTTTGTGGGGTGGTTTCAACAATAATCACATCGCACCATGTAGGTGGCATTTAACTTGCTTGTAGTGAAGTAGATCATGTCTGGGCATTGATCCTAGCAAGTTAGGTTGTTTTCCCCTCCCCTTTCTGAATCAGTGAGAGATGATTCCTACTCCCTGTTCACCAAGGAGTCTGAGCTCATGGAGCAGAGAGTGATGCAAGGAAGTTTGTGTTTGCCAAAAATTAGTCTGTGTGTCGGTGACGAACTGGATCCGAAAAAGGCTGAGAGGCCAACTAAGGGAGCTTTGTAAAACTCATCCAGTGTGAAGGATGGCTCTTTTATTTCTTCTGATTCCGATGAGTCAGTAGTGATGCAGAGCACTTGCCAAAAGTATTCAGAGGGAGAGAAGTCTATCAAGAGCAAAGTGACATCATTAACAGTGTGTCTTTCTATAGCACGAGGACACAAAGAGTGTGGCTTGGTGGGAGGTAGTGTGTGGTTATGAAAAGTAGGTGGAGACATGGATAGGAAAGTTCCAAAGACAAGAGACTGGTCACTGGGAGATAGGCTGTCAGGTCATTTGTCTTCCTTTCTGTTCTTTGCCACTTAGGTAGCTTCTAGAATCTACAAATGAAGGCTGAATAATTTAATGCATGATCTTTTCATCGTTTGCAGGGGAAAGGGTGCTGCTTTAGCACAGTCATCCTCAATTCCAAGGGGACCATGGGAGCTGGGGTGAGGAGGGTTTAGTCTGGGTCATTAGGGCTGATGCCAAAAATGTGAAGCAGACTGTTCTATTCCAGGCTTATCTGAGCCCACATCTTCAGTTGGAACCAGTCAGGCCTCAGCACTTTAACAAGTGAAAAGGCCTCAGGACTTCTTTCAACTCATGTTAATCATTAACTCTGGTTTTGTTCCAAATTCTCTTCTTCCTAACCTCGTTCCATCCCACGTTTCAACCCATTTAGGTCTTTGGAGATTTTTGGCTACTTTTTTTCCTAGAACATTTATCCTATTACTACACATCTATATTTAATTTTATTTCATAAATTAGGAGTGAGGAAAATAACCTTCGAAAGATTCTCTTGGAGAAGTAGCTTACTGGCGTCATTTAGGGACCAAAGGGGGAAAAAAAGAGTTGTAGCTCATCGGTATTTTGCCACCTTATTTCTGTAACATTTTGAGTGTTAATAAAAAATATTTCATTTGTTAACTTTTCAGACAACAAGACTTTTTTTCCCATATTCTATCTTGAAAACATGAACCCTATTCAGAACCGCTCACTGTTAGTGTTATCTCTTCCAGTTCCTGAAACGGCTCCTCTCATCAGAAATATTGAAAGCTCCAGTCCTGATACTGTGGAAGTCAGCTGGGCTCCACCCCAGTTCCCAGGTGGACCTATTTTGGGCTATAACTTAAGGCTAACCAGCAAAAATCAGAAATTAGATTCAGGGACACAGAGAACCAGCTTCCAGTTTTACTCAACTCTACCAAGTACCACCTACAGGTAAGAATGAAGTGGTGCAAAGGAAAATGTAACCACCTGGTCACAGGCATGATACAGTAAAACCTGCGAAAGCCAGAACCCATGTAAGGCGGAAACCCGTAACAGAAGGAAAACTCAAATATTTTCCACCAATAGAGAGCAATAGAAAAGTGGTAAGACTGCACCCCGTCAAAGGTGGAAAACTTGCGAGACCTGGAAAAACGAGGCAGTCTCGTCGAGTTCTGGCTCTCACAGGTTTCCCCGTACTTACTTAAGAAACATGGGTGAAAAAACAGTTTAAATGTATTTTGAGAATTTCCCTGGCCTTTGTGCTATTGGATTGAAGTCACTGTGGTTTTCTTCAAGTTAATATGCTTACTAGATTACACCATCCTATGCAAAACATTCTTCAGCGTTCCTATTGTATTCAGAAAATCCTTATTAAATATGGGCTAACAAAGGCATCATGAACATCATGAATATCGTTTCTTCATTTAATCCAACAGGGGAGAAGCAAGGAGGTCAAATTCCGTTAATGGTATTTTTATTAACCACTAGAGGGATTATTTTATTATTGTTAGCTTTCCTAGCATTTACTCAGGACTCTTTAAATTAGGGGAGGAATGGGGGTCATGTAGATAGCAGAGTTCAGTTTTTAACCTCCATGACCCTGAACTGGTCTATGGGGAATGCAAACAAGGATGTGATTGATGGTCATTTTAGGGCTGAGCAGAGGCATCAAGTAACTAGATACCTACATTGCCACATCGTCCTTTAAACAGAAACATTACTTGCTTCTTCTATTTTTATCTCACGTTCACACCATGCCTTATGAAACATATCTTTCCAATTGTTTTTGGAATAGGTTTTCTATTGCAGCAGTAAATGAAGTTGGTGAGGGGCCGGAAGCAGAATCTAATATTACTACTTCATCCCCAGCAGGTATGGCCCAGGGTTGCTCCCTCTGTTATGCAGGAACTGAGGGGTGGCAAGGCTGGGTTCAGATCTCAGAGGCCCTGGGTCATCTGGTGAACCCCAAGACCCCAACTCTTCTGCCCAAACAAAAATTGTCTTTTGGGGACTTGATAAGTTTTCAATTTTAAGTGAATCTAAGTATTTGACAAATAGAAGGAAGTGGTTAGATCGAAAGTTTTCACATTCTAATATAGAAATTTGAAAAAATTAGAATGCAAAAATTTAGGATTTGAAAGATAATCTCCAACAAATCCTTGGTTACAGCTGAAATTACTGTTGATTGTGACTCACATTTACACACTTCAAACCAAAAACCAAACCCGTTGCCATCCAGTTGATTCTGACCCCTAGTGACCCTGTAGGACAGAGCAGAACTGCCCTATAGGGTTTCCAAAGCTATAAATCTTTAAGAAAGCAGACTGCCACATCTTTCTCTCACAGAGGGGCTGGTGAGTTGGAACCGCCGACCTTTCAGTTAACCACTGTGCCACCAGGGCTTCTTTTTACACGCTTAGCGGATACATATAAGCTTTCTGCCGTAATTCCCGTTTTTACATTCTGTATCGTTATTTAATACCTTTCAGATTTTTTTTTCTTCCAATCTCCTTAAGGTTTTTAAATATACCTAAACCAAACCCGTTGCCGGCCAGATGGACTCATAGCCACCCTATGGGATAGAGCAGAACTGCTCCACAGGGTTTCCAAGAAGCAGCTGGTGGATTCGAACTGCCAGCCTTTCGGTTGGCAGCTGAGCTCTTAACCACTGTGCCACCAGGGCTCCTAGACTTTAATAATTTACATTTTACCATTTTGAATGTTCAGTCTACAAAATTAGCTTTTGTTATTATTTTGTAAGTTTCCTTTTGGGCTTTGGCATTTTAGCAATTGCTTCGAGAGATTGCATACTTATTGTGTGAAGCCTAAGTGAGCCAAATAATAAATGAAAATGCTTTCTAAGAAGCGCTGAAAATTCTTTGAGGGAAAACTAGTAAGAGTTTTTAATAACACCAAAGGCCTAAGGAGTCAGTTTTTTTTCACCTGAACCCCCTTTTTTGATGTGATGCGCCTTACCCTAAACTGCACACGCTTATGCCAGTGCGTATGGAATGTCATCTATCACCAGCCTTTAGTGTTTTGGCTATTACTAGACTCTAGGAAAGGAGGGGCCTTTATACAAGAAGTATGTCGAAAGGGTGAGTCAAATATAGAGCAGAGTTAAAGTTGTTGTTACTGTGATTGTTGAATAACATTTATGAATTGCCCTCAAAGTGCTTACGAATGCACCCAGGATCAGTTTCGAATCGAATGGGATGTCCATTAGAGTTCTGCAGCCCTCAAATTTCATTTCGGTAGGGACTATTCTCCTGCCTCAAAGGGAGAGATGCTAAAGGCAAAATAGAGACAGCCAATGTCTGTCTGTAGGTGTGTGTGCCATGCGACAACTCACTCTGCCTGGGTTGGAGCACCTCCACCAAGCAGTCAGATTCTCATGACTGAAGATAATGAGTTGAGCTCCTATTGAAGCAAGACTGTTGAGAATGGTGATAACTCCTGTGATGTTATTCTGGGGGTAATTAAGGGCATGCAGACATAGATCCTACTTGATTGCTACTGTACTTCCTACTATCAATCATGGAATAATGTGGATTATACTGTAGATGAAATGCCTCAGTGCCTTCTGACACTTGTAGTCCTTTCAAGTGTAGTCCCCTTGCTTTAAAGGGAGTCCTTAGGTGGTGCAAACAGTTAAGTACTCGGCTACTCGGGAGTTGGTTGATGGTTCGAATCCACTCAGAGGTGTCACAGAAGAAAGGCCTGGTCACTGGGAGACAGGCTGTCAGTTCACAAAAGATCGCAGCCGAAAGATCACAGCCATTGAAAACTCAATGGAGTGAAGTGCTACTCTGACACACATGGGGTCACCATGAGTTGAAATCGACTCGATGGCAACTGGTTTGGTGGTATTGATTTTTTTATGTCAGTGTATATAATGACTATCTATCTGCAAATCATTTTATTTTTTCAGTTCAAGCAGAAGAGCAGTGGCTCTTTTTATCCAGAAAAACATCTCTAAGAAAAAGATCTTTAAAATATTTAGTAGATGAAGCACATTGCCTTCAGTCAGATATTATACTCCGTAATATTACAGGTCAGTATCATGGACAGAAATGTTTCCTCAGTATTAAAAGAAAGATCTGTGTTGCTTTTTATTTTAATCCCTTTATTAAAAATTAAAGGAATAAATTCTCTCCCATGTATATTTTTTTGTCTTGGTTGTTATATAATAATGTATATGTATTTGCATGGTTTTTCTAGGAATATCAGTTAATGTCCACCAGCAAGTTATTTATTTCTCTGAAGGAAATCTCATATGGGTGAAAGAGGCTGCCAACATGTCTGATGTGTCTGACCTAAGAATTTTTTACAGAGGTTCAGGCTTAATTTCTTCCATCTCCATAGACTGGCTTTATCAGAGACTGTATTTCATCGTGGATGAACTGGTTAGTCTGAGAATTTAAAATGAATGACTATACAGTAATACACATATGCATATCTTGGTATATTTACAAGTGAACATAATTCTTTCATTCAAAGAATATTCATTGAGTACTTACTGTGTTTCAGACACTAGGTTACTCACTACTAGTCTTGACCTACCTTTAAATCATCTTTATTTGTGATTTTTTTAGAGCCATGAATTTATTCTAAATCAAATTTGGTTTATAAGAATTCATGTAACATAAGATAGTGGTGGTACCTGTGTTTTCATTAGGTAAGACTGCCAGTCATGATCCAAATCAGCTGCAAGTATTTTAAACTATGTAATTACCAAGAAGGTAACTTCCCGATCTCTGAAAATGCAGTGTTACTGAAATCTTTGAGAAGACACAGTCTTGATGTGTTTCAAGTTCTATTTGTTTTGGAGGTATAGGTTTATCACAGTGAGCAAAGGCCATCACTACTGCTAGAAGTCCATATGCTTGGAGACAGCTTAAATACAAGAATAGTTGAGTGCCTTCATAAGCCAGGGAATTAGGCACTTGTATTTCATTAAAGCCAATAGGATATAAACTCATTAGTATATAGGGTATAAAACTGCTTTTTAATGGCTTTAAGTGTTTTCTATATACCGTTTGGAGCCCTGCTGGCGCAGTAGTTAAGAGCCACATCTGCTAACCAAAAGGTTGACAATCCACTACTTGGAAACCCTATGGGGAAATTCTACTCTGTCCTATAGGGTCGCCATGAGTTGTAATCAACTCCGGTGACGGGTTTACTTTTATGGTTATATATCATTTAAAGGGCAAAGTTCCAAGTGATTAGCACAATTCCAAACACAAAACAGGTGCTCAGGAGATGCTCTTTGGCCTGATTGGATATAGATAGACACTAATCCTGCTGATGTATTTTTGATTCTCTAGGTGTGTGTCTGTGATTTAGAGAACTGCTCAACCGTTGAGGAGATTACTCCTCCCTCTATTGTCGCACCTCAAAAAATTGTAGCTGATTCGTACAATGGGTAAGCGCTTGTATGAATTCTCTTCTACCAGTAATCCTTTGAGAAACTTACCTGCGTGAAACATCATAGTACCGGATAAGCCAATCTATGTATCTTATTTCAGGTAAATATTAATTCAGGGCAAAGTTTTCATGCTATAGAACTGGGAGGAAATTTTCTTCAAACTTGCTTTAAGCTTCCTCTAAGTAGTTTTTCTTTCTTTCACAGAAAAATATGGGTATATGGAGAAGACCTCTTGCCTGGAACTCTGAGACCTGGGTTGTAGTCTTAGGTTTGCTACTATTTTATGGTGGGACTCAGGGCCTCATTGCCTCCTCCACCTTCCCTGTGAGAAACCCCTCCTGCCTCGTTTCCTCCCTTTAGTGTGTCTTTTGCTAAGTGATTCAGCTCCAGTTCATCTCTCTGGTCTGGTTCTCACACCATGAGGCTGGTTTAATGAGAACCCTGCTAGAATCCACTTTAGAAGACAGGGACTGATGATTAATAACAAGTAAAAATTTCCAAACACAAATAAATGGCTTCTTTTTAAAACCCCTGTCACAAATGAAAGGGACACATTTTAGCCCAGTTGTGCTGCTAAATTGCAGTAGGACCTTGAACAAGTAATTTCATGTCTGTGACTTTTGGTTAATTCATCCATGTGGGGAAAATAATAGTACTTACCTAGTTGGGCTATTTTGAAGATGAAATGAGGTATTCACTGTGATTATATTTTGTGAACTCCAAAACACTACATGAAGGTAAAGGATGAAAAAATAGACAAGTTGCTTTGGGGTTATCATGTCTTAAATTATGACCAGACAGTAACAGTTTAGTAGCTAATAAGCAAGACTGATTTTTGTAAGAATAACTTTTTTTCTTTCCTGTAGGAATAAAGTTTTAATTTTGAATGAAAAAAAAAAATTCATCCCACAATACTTTTTTTTCCATAAATTTACTTACTTCAAAAAGATTGCTCATTATTGATTTAAAATCAAGATTTTCTATTCATTCTTATTCATAATTTACTACAGATTTTATTTTAACCTCTTAAATATGAATGAATTATTGAATTACGGAATATTTCCAAAGAATCTTGTGATGCAGGGCTACTCTTTTGGACTCTCTGGATCTCATTTTTTCTCATTTTAAAAGTCTAAGATTCTATGAAATATAACTTTGTTGCTTGCAGTTACACAAAATGACTCATTCTAAGGATAATGAACTTCATCCAATAAATCAATTATTCAAAATGCATCTCAGTGAGGTCTTTGACAGCTCCTTTTTCCATTAGGATAAATTGATGTGTGCTTAGATTTGAAATGTGACTAGAATTGATAATTATTATTAATTGAACCCTTCATAAGTGTTTCTAAGTGCATTACTTCCAATAATGCACTTAATCCTTGCACAATCCTAGGAGGTAGGTACTTTTATTATCCCAGTTTTAGAGATAAGGAAAGCAAAGTACAGGGGGATTTAGTAATTGCCCCAAAGCACATAGCTATTATGTAATGGAACCAGGATTTGATGTCTTGATGTAGGGCCTGTCTTCTAATCACCTCCTTATACAATGACAGGAGAGTGTCTGTAAAAATCAGCACGTAACTTACAGTAACACTTTGTAAATAATGTTCCTAAAGCTCTTGGGATGTGTCAAAACAGTTTATTTTCCTGGTATTAGAAAGATTTTCCTTTGTATTGTTATTTTGCACCATTGAATTATTCACTCATTGAGTGTGTACTTATTAAACCCTCTTCCCTTCTCCCTCACCCCACTTTCTCTACTCCCCCTCCTCTACTCCTCCCACACCCCACCTTTCTTCACCTTCCTTCTCCTTTTCTCTTCCCTCCAAAGTAGTGATGTGAAGTGAAGGCCTGCTTCAGTACAAGAATTGTGATCAGTACCCCTTTCTCTACTTTGAAATTCCTCCAAATTCCCTTAGCAGTTTTGAATTTGTAAAACAAAAGCAGGAAGTTGAGAGCCAAGGCATTTCTGCTTTATGCTTGCTGCAGTCCTCCCTTAAGAGAGAAAACATAGGTTTATATCTCAAAATGGAGTTTATATCTCAGGATATTATTCTAGCACAAGAGTCTTGAGGGTATTGATAAACATTTGGAATAATCACTGAGGGGAACAAAAGCAGGACTTAACAAGGACAAGAAATAGAATTTCTTGTGATACGATGAGAGGTTCCAAAAGCAAAAAACCAAACCCACTGCTGTCCAGTCAATCTGACTCATAGTGACCCTATAGGACAGAGTAGAACTGCCCCATAGGGTTTCCAAGGCTGTAAATCTTTACAGGAGCAGACTGCCACATCTTTCTTCCATGGAGCCACTGGTGAGTTCAAACTGCCGACCTTTCAGTTAGCAGCTGAGCACTTAACCACTTTGCCACCAGGACTCTTTCTGAGGAGCGCCTGGTGGATTCGAACTGCCAACCTTTTTTGGTTAGCAGCCGCAGCACTTAACCACTATGTCATCAGGCTTCCCAGCGAGAGGTTAGAGACCATGAATTTGAAGTGCTACCAATCCATGGGGTTGTCAAAATTAAGAAAGATTTACTCAGCAAAAGTGTACTCTTATTAGTATCTGTCTCCATGATCACAAAATTCTAAATTAGCTACGTCCAAGTTAATAGTTTCATGTTTTACTTAAAATTCCTTTTACAGATTTATCAATGAAATATTTTCACAGGTGTGTGTTTTCTTTTTTCATTATTAAAAAATCAACTACATCATCCCCGTGAGGTTTGGCTTCATATTAGGTGTGTTTCTTTAATTCTTCCATTGACCCTTTTCTCTTAATGCTGTGTGGTTCCTATTTTGGTCACCTGTGGGTTATTTCTTCATGGTTTGTACAGTGGTAGCCCTACTGTCTGACACAATTGTAATATTAAAAAAAAATTTAGTTCACTACTAATGCAAAGTAGTTAGTTAGGCTAGATATTTATAGCAAAATAATAACTGTGCAGTTTAAGAAAATACGTGGTTTACATGTTTTGCTTTCTTTCACTTTATCATTCACAATGCATGGGAAAATGGATTGAGTTAGACTTGAGAGTTTGTGTATTCTGGAGGAAAGTATTTTATATTAAGTAACATGTTTAGTCACATAGCTTTTATATAGTATGCTTTCCTTAAAGAGTAGACTACATTAGAAAATCTTTAAATACCCTTTCTGTTCTTAAATTTTATGATTCCCTTAAATAATTGGGAATGAGAATTACAAGTTATGCTGAAATTTGTCAATGTTCCTTCTAACCTAAATGAATAGACCATATCTTTAGTAATTACCTTTACCCTTGTGCACCTTGGGAAATCCTGTACTGAGTGACTCCAGAGATATATGGTTCTTATTGTGCAACAGGATAAAGCAATTAGCTGAGGAGGTTACTCATCCACCACTGCTCTGAATCACATCGGCTTCTTTTGTTCCTACATCAGGTATGTCTTTTATCTCCTGAGAGACGGCATTTATAGAGTACATCTCCCAGTGCCATCTGGTCAGGACTCTGAAGCAGTGCGGATTGTGGAGAGTTGCACATTAAAGGACTTTGTAGTAAAGCCACAGTCCAAGAGAATCATTTACTTCAATGACACCGCCCATGCCTTCATGTCAACATTTCTGGATGGCTCTGCTTCCCACCTTGTCCTACCTCATGTCTCCTTGGCTGATGTGAAGAGCTTTGCTTGTGAAAACAGTGACTTCCTTGTCACAGATGGCAAAGCCGTTTTCCAACAGGACTCTCTATCTTTTAACGAATTCATCGTAGGGTGTGACCTGAGTCACATAGAAGAATTTGGATTTGGTAACCTGGTCATCTTTGGCTCATCTACCCAGCTCCACCCTCTGCCAGGCCGGCCTCAGCAGCTTTCAGTGCTGTTTGGCTCTCACCAGGCCCTTGTTCAATGGAGGCCTCCTGCCCTCGCCATAGGAGCCAGTGAGTGTGCTCTCCCCAGGGTGGTTACTAGCCTCACTCAAAGGAGAGGAAAGCTTCAGTTGCTCAACATTGTGACTCAATTTCGAGAGTCCGCATTAATTGTTCAGTCATCAACCAGAAGCAGCTACCTAGCTTAAAAAGAAAGTTTTTATGTATTTGTTCTGCATTTATTAGCTTTTGCATTAGGAGAATTTCTGTATTCTATATGTGTATCTCAATAGAACAGTTCAAACATTTCTTGACCGTCTAGTAGGATCCAGCTATAGGCATTCTAGATGGAGTGAATGTGTTAGCCAAGAGGACAGGACACTTGAGTTCAGATTTTGTATCTGCTGAAATCTTGCATGAACTTGAACCATTCCCTAGAACTCTCTGAACTTGAATCTCTGTAGAGAGGCAGTATGTGTATTGGGTAGGCTGGTGGGCTCTGGAGCCAGCCTGCATGGATTGAAAATCTGTTCTTGACATTTATTAGCAGAATGACCCTGGGGCAAGTTCCTTAACCATTCTATGCCTCGGTTTCCATACTTGAAAATGGAATATTAATTATACCTTCTAGTGGGATTGTCATATAGATTAAATTAATATCCAAATGTGGAACACTTAGAGCAGCATCTAGAACAGGAGTTGGCAAACATTTTTTGTAAAGAAAGGGCTAGATAGTAAATATTTTTGGTTTTGTGGGTCACATGGTCTCTATCACAACTATTCAACTCTGCTATTGTAGTCTGAAAGCAGCCAGAGATAATATGTAAACGAATAGCCGTGGCTGTATTTCAATACGACTTTATTTACAAAAACAGGCAGCAGGCTGGATTTGGCCTGTGGGCCTTTGGAATTGACTTGATGGCAATGGGTTTGGTTTTTTTTTTTTTTTTGGTTTGGTCTAAAAAATAGTAAGTATTCAGTAAACACTGACTATTTTTACTTTAAGACAAAGTTAATTATGCCTGTTTGCTTCATATGTTAAAGACAGTTGAAAATGAACAAGTAACTTTTTTGGATTGTTTAGACTTCTTGGAGGAAGGTGCTGTATGAATCTTGGGATTTAAACTTAGGGAGTCATCATTAAGCATTTGTTCACTAAGAGCCTGATTGTACCTGGTGGTGTTATACAGAAGCCCTCTGGCCATTCTATGCAGCCAAGCATACAGCTTTGACCGAAAACAGTGTCCTTCTGTCTGGAAAGAATATCTTCTTTAATGATGCAAAATAAGCAGCATGAGAGGAATGGACGCTGTCCTAGTCTATCAAACTCACCATATTGTCAAACTAACCCTTATGAGTAATGGGGTAACAGGTATTACTGCCCCGTTACCTTCTCAATCAAGATGAGGCTGTAAGTGAATTTGCTAACAATTCTTTGTTTGCCCCTCCCAATATCATCCTAGTCCATAATATTGTATAATTCTTCCAATTAGGCCCGTCCGCCTGGCAGAAATGGACTTATGAGGTGAAAGTATCAACCCAAGACCCCCCTGAAACCACTCGTTTTTTCTCTAACATAAGTGGGACCATGCTTAATGTACCTGAGCTGCAGAGTGCTACGAAATACAAGGTTGCTGTGAGAGCAAGTTCTCTCAAGGGGCCTGGCCCCTGGTCAGAGCCCTTGGTGGGTACTACCCTGGTGCCAGGTGAGAAAATGTTCTTGATTCAGGGAGTGTTTCTGACAAGAAGAGGCTTACCCCATGCACCCTTTAAAACTTCTAGCCTCAAATGTAGTAAAGAAATCAGAATGAACGTGCATTGACCTCTTCAGTGTGTGTTTATTTTCTAAGATTAGGAAAGGAAAAAAAAATAAAGCACTGTGTGATATTAAATTTATGTTTCTAACCTTATATTTTTAACTTCCCAATATATTTTTTTGTGGAAACAATATAATTTTCTTCTTCTACATGGATTTCCTCCTTCTCGTGACTTATTAAGCAATAGTAGTTCTTGAGGAGCTCCAGTGGCAAAGTGGTTAAAGCTCAGGTGGCTATACAAAATCTCAGCAGTTCGAATCCACCAGCTGCTCCTTGGAAACCCTATGGGGCAGTTCTAATCTGTCCTATAGAGTCGCTATGAGTCACAGTCGACTCGACGGCACACGAAGACAACAACAACACTTCTTGAACTCTGAAGGTCTTGGTGACAGAAGTTGAGGGACTGTAAATTATGCTGAATTCCATCCTCTTGGATTAAAAACAAACAAACCCAGAAGGGTGACTACCACTTATACTGCTGTTGCTGTCATGAGGGCTTCTGGGTGCTCTGAATGGGATGGCAATTAGTAATCAACGCAAGAAAAAATTCTGCCATGACCATGACCATAGAAGCAGCATTACCACACATTTCTCTTCATATTCAAGATCAAATATTTATGTAAAAATCAGAAAGTATTTTTTTATTGTACTTTAGATGAAGGTTTACAGAGCAAATTAGTTTCTCATCAAACAATTAATACACATATTGTTCTGTGAGATTGGTTGCCAACCCCAGGACATGTCAACACTCTCCCCTTCTTGACCTTGGGTTCCCCATTACCAACTTTTATGTCCGCTCCTGCCTTCTCTTCCTTGCCCCTGGGCTGTTGTGCCTATTTAGTCTCCTTTTGTTTTATGGGCTGAGGGGTGACCCTCAGGAGTAGTGATTTCAGTACTGAGTTAAAAGGGTGTCCGGAGGCCACACTCTCGGGGTTTCTCCAGTCTGTCAGACCAGTAAATCTGGTCTTTTTTTTTGTGAGTTAGAATTTTGTTCTACATTTTTCTCCAGCTCTGTCAGGGACCCTATATTGTGATCCCTGTCAGAGCAGTCAGTGGTGGTAGCCGGGCACCATCTAGTTGTGCTGGACTCAGTCTGGTGGAGGCCATGCTAGTTGTGGTCCATTAGTCCTTTGGACTAATCTTTCCCTTGTGTCTTTGGTTTTCTTCATTCTCCCTTGCTCCAGATGGGGTGGGACCACTGGAG